GTTATTCATCTCATTCTTCTAGCCTTGATTTGAAAATTCATCACGTGTCTGGCAAGGGGTTAACTTTGCCAGCCTTTAACGAAATGCGCGCAGATAAAAAAAAAAATTATATAATTTTTTAAAATATAATTTGTTTAACGTCGACAATGTAGGAAGTGGTTGCCCAATCCTCTGAGCCGGTGGCTCAGAGGATCCAGATTCCAGACTCGAATTGGAATTTGGAATGTTGGTTTTTGCGGAGGGAGGAAAACCGGAGGACCCGGAGAAAAACCCTCGGAGCAAAAAACGAGAACCAATAACAAACTCAACCCACATGTGACGCCAGGTCCGGGAATCGAACCCGGGCCATAGTGGTGGGAGGCGAGTGCTCTCACCACTGTGCCATCCCTGCTCCCCTAAGGAGAATTTGTATTAAGATCTCAACGATGAATGAGTTAACAATGACTGTCAAACTCACCAGGATGATACGGATGTTCTTGCGAAGATGTCGAGTGGGTTGGACTGTAAGGTACAGTATCGGCCGAAGGAGCTGGTACTAAAAAGAACAGAGAAACTTAGGTAAATCATCGGTAAAAAAAAAAGTCTCACACTTCAACGAGGTCAGCTAAGAGTCTTTGACTACAGTCGTCTCCAGATCTTCTCCCACTAAGCCGGTTGGCAGAATAAACAGTAAAACATTTGTTCTAAAACAATCATTTTTTTTTTTACCTGTGTACATAATCGGTCTGACTACCTCCACAACTGAAAGAACGAAAAGACAAGGATCAGTCAATAATCAACCTCATTAACAGGTTATAAATGCGTTGCATTCAGCATTAAGCTTTTAGGGGACACGAAAAAGGGTAAGCGTTCTCTTACGGAAGTCAAACAAAAAACGCGGGTAAGGTGGGTGGGGAGGTTTTTAATCATGGCCAAGCATCATATCAATATTCACAGTCAATTTATGGTACAGAAACAGTAATACGCTCCAGCTGGCCAATAAGCATGCAGGACTTCACATTACCAAAGAATTAGGGAGGTTAGTTTCTAAAGAAATTGTGGTGCTGAGTTGATAATGTAAACTAGCCCCGCAAAGAGTTTCAAAGCTGACGTTTCGAGCGTTTACCCTTCGTCAGAGGGAGTGATGAATGGCTGACGCTCAAAAATGTCAGCTTTGAAACTCTTTACGGTGACCAAGTTACATTATCAACTCAGTTGATAAAACCAAATAACCCAAAAATTGTCCTGACCTGGTGGATGGCGGTAATGTGGTCTCTGATGTTCATCGTTGATATGAAGCCGTCTGAGTTCCTGCATATGGACGGTATCTTCTGGTAAAGACGTTCTGTCCACTTCAGGGAACACATGAATTTCCTCTAACGAAAAAAACATTCGCATCAAATTAGAGATTTTATTTTCCTTCCAAAAATACCGTTTGATGAAAGAAAGAGGGAACGGAAAGAAAGGAAAAGATAATAAAAATCACTGCGGCTTACTTCATACTGTGGCAATCGCACAACTTGAAAAAGGTATTTTTTCCGTTGAAATAGTTTTCGAAAAAATATATTTCTTTGTCACTTCTAACAGTCCTCCTTTCATTAGGAAGATCTTCCCGCAACCTAGCCACGCTTCGACCTATTTTTATTATTATTATTATTATTATTATTATTATTATTATTATTATTATTATTATTATCATTATCATTATTATTATTATTATTATTATTTATTACTATTTATTATTATTAAATAGGCCAGGATTCACTCGACTCGCGTATCAAGACAACTGCGCCAGAAAAAGCTATTGTAGTTCCAAGTTGTAATAACAATAATAAGCTTCATTAAGATGTGAAATCAATAGCAGTTTCCTACAAAGTAAGGACGCCTAAACTAAACTAATCTAATATACATAGAACACACAAAATATGCAATCCTGCCCCGTATAGTTGACCCTATATATATGTACTACCCTACCCTGTGTAATTAAAATTACCNCACTTCCCAAGTTTCTAATAATCCACAGAATTTTTAAAGGCAAAGAGTTAAATAGTACGCGATGTTCATTGTTCATGTTGCAACTTTAAATGTCCGAGAGATATTTAGTGTTCCCGAGATCACAGCCTTCTGCATATTTTGAAGAATTATTATTATTATTATTATTATTATTATTATTATTATTATTATTATTATTATTATTATTATTATTTTATTATTATTCTTCGCTTCTAACAGTCCTCCTTTCATTAGGAAGATCTTCCCGCAACCTAGCCACGCTTCGGCTTATTTTTTTTAATGTACTGCTGGAATAGTTCACCTTCACTCATCTGCTTTGGAGACTGCACATCCGTTAACGACGATGTACTCGCTGTAGAGGATACCGAAATTCTGTCGCCTGCAATGTCTTTTCTTAGAGCTAATGGCGAAGGAACTGAGAAAAGAAAGAAAAAGCCCCAAAACACAAAGTTAGCCCAAGCCATCAAATAATCCGAAGGTTCAACACATTCTTCATTCTTAATAAATTTTCTGCTCATAGTTGTGACTACAAACTCTGTGGTGCACTTCAAGGTTACAGGATTCCTGAGCTTTCCGCTTTTGACCGAATTGTGATCCTTATAAAAATATTGTTTACCGAGGGAAAGAATTACGAATTGGGACGTTTCTTGTATGATGTGATTTAATGTAAAAAAGAAGTTATTACGAAGTGAGGCCTTAAGTCACGAAGGTAAGTTTCAAGCAAGGGTTTTCAAAATAAAAATTCGGGACTTCTAAGAGAAGTTATGGACTCGTTCCCGGGGTTCTGCCGGGTGCCCTTCCTCTGGCAGTCGGGAAAGAGGGGAGGGAAATGGGGAAAAGAGGAGAGAACTTTAGACACTAGGCAACGCAAACAGTTACTTTGCTTAGCGGTCAACTCACTTGGTTTTCCAGCTTTACGATCTTTCTTGTTCGCGCCTGGAGAGGACGTGGGTGAGGTCTTCTTCCGTGACTGTACACTAGGAGCAGCTGCTGGACATAAAGAAAAAAAACGATTAT